TGAAAGGCAAGGAACTCTTGTTCTTTCTTAGGACAGGTTGCGGCTGTCAAAGTGAGTTTGTCAGCTTTGGGGCGCTTGAGTAGCCCCACCTAAACCAACACACATATATAAATATATATATATATATAAACACATATAGACATATACCATGAGCTACTAAACACCAGCAAAATGACGCCCGAACAAACACGGTTTTGTACAGAAAGACATGGTTTTCCAAGATTGTCATTTTGCATACGGAATTTACGGTGTTTGTAAGGAAACAATACAGTTGTTACGTGTTGTGTACGGTTGTTTTACGCGTCGAAATTTGAAGAACACCCGTTGTTCCCTGCCAGAAACCAGGGCTTTTCGGGAAAAAGCTGAACACCTGACCCGTTTTTTTTGGTTTATATATATATATAACAAATCCAGGTTTTGGTCGCCTAAGGTATTTCTCCAGCGACCCCAAAGCCAGCCAAAGCCAGCCAAAGCCCAGCCCACGTCCACGCCGTAGGAGCCAAAGGAGCTCAGGGCCAGCGAGGCGATCGCCGCGGTCTTTCTCGGCTTCGGGTCTCGCGCCGTTCGATCCCGCGCGGCGGTTGCGTCGGTTTCGGTGGGTTTTTGTTTGCCGGTGTTTGAATCCGGAAGTCGACCTCCATCGTTCGGCGTCTCCTCGTTCGGCGTTCGCGCGTCTTTGGCTCGCATGTTTTTTTCTTCTGTTTTTTGTGGCTCAAGTCTATCTCCCTGGAGGCCATGGAGTGAATTAATAGGGGTTCCAGGGTAGCACTCAAGGCCGTTCGGGCCGCACATGGAGAAAACAACTCGACTTGTAGAGTCTCCAGAAAAACTCCTTCAAAAATGGCTGGTGGACATAAATCCGCGAAATGGTGTCGAAAGGGTCTCAGAATGAAAGTCACACCCAGTGTTGTTTTCTGTTTCGGGGTTTTGGGAGTTAAAGGGCCAAAGACACCTCGTCAATATGACGTGAGGAAGAGCGGACCGGAGTTCAGTGTACTGATGGAGAAAGGGAAGCCGAAACCGTTTTGGGGGCATCTGACGTACTTGCTATGTGGGTAATAATCATGATAGGCCACAAAAGCCATGGTTAGTCTCCTAAGTAGGTATGAATGACTTACTAAGTGCCCGATCGCCCCGTTGAAGTATCTCAGGTGATCAAGATCTGGGTCCTTTTGGAGTGGGGGTCCTCTTCTTGCGGGGGTTGAATCAGTGGACACTGAGGACTTACGCGCCGAAGTTTTTTGGAGTGATGAGATTCGGACAGTTGAGGGGCAAGTCTTACTCTAAGAAATGGAAGGAACCTGCACAAAGTTCAATGAAAAGAAGGTCTTCAGGGGAACTGAGCGGTTGGGGCCACTAAAAGCGGGAACTCCAAAAGTGGAGAAAAAAGACGACCATCGCACGGGTTTCGAGGGGAACCACATGGCCAATTGCCAGAGCCACGTATGTGGAGGGATGTAATTTCCAGGAGCAACCCGCCGGTTTTCGGTTTCGTGAAACCGCCGGTTGACTGAATTTCCCCAAATTGCTTTCAAGCTAGTCCGCCAACACTCTAGGGCCTCCTGCAAGGGTCTTTGGATTGACCGGTGCTCCCCATAGTTTTCTTTCTGGCGTTAAACAAAGAACTATCATCTAATGATACTTCAAGGAACAACTCATGTGTATGTGTCGTCTTTTTGTTGGGGGGAGGGGGGGGGGGGGCTGACCCAAAGTTGTGGTTTTAGGCTGTGAGCGGGTTTCAACCTGCCGGGTTTTTGAGGAACCCAGCTGCCCAGCGGTACGCTTGGGGAAGGGTTTTTTCGTTAAACTCAACCAACACAACTAGGTCCCCCAATAGTGCCCTTTTTGACCCCTTTTTTGGGGAGGGTTTTCCCCTACTAAAATCGACTACAGAAAAAAAGGGTGTCCTTATTCCAACCTCTCTACTGGAGGACCTAGACCAAAAAATGTGTTTTTTCCACGGGAAGTCCACTGGGCATCTGAGGGAAAGTGCCAGGCCCGGAGCCGCGCGAGCAGCTACAGCAGCGAGGACTTTGAGGGTTCCAACCAGAGCTACAGCGAGAGCTTCGCCAGTGAGACCGTGACGCTGAGGAGCCGATAGAGAAAGGGCTGGCGCTGTGTGTGTGTGTGTGTGTGTGTGTGCTTTTGTGTGTGTGTGTGTGTGTGTGTGTGTGTGTGTGTGTGTGTGTGTGTGTGTGTGTGTGTGTGTGTGTGTTTGTGTGTTTGTGTGTTTGTGTGTTTGCGTGTTTGCGTGTTTTTGTGTTTGCGTGTTTTTGTGTTTGCGTGTGTGTGTGTGTGTGCGTTTGCGTGTGTGTGTGTGTGTGTGCGTTTGCGTGCGTGCGTTTGCATGTTCGTGCGTGCGTGTGCGTTTGTGTGCGTGCGTTTGCATGCTCGTGCGTGCGTGCGTTTGTGTGCGTGTGCGTGCGTTTGCGTGCGTGCGTGTGCGTGCGTGTGCGTTTTCGTGCGTGCGTGTGCGTGCGTGCGTGCGCGCGTGTCTGCGTGCCTGCGTGCCTGCGTGCCTGCGTGCGTGCCTGCGTGCCTGAGTGCCTGCCTGTGCCTGCCTGTGCGTGCCTGCCTGTGCCTGTCTGTGCGTGCCTGTGCCTGCCTGTGCCTGCCTGTGCCTGCCTGTGCCTGCCTGTGCGTTCCTGTGCCTGCCTGTGCCTGCCTGTGCGTGCGTGTGCCTGCCTGTGCCTGCCTGTGCCTGCCTGTGCCTGCCTGTGCCTGCCTGCCTGCGTGCCTGCCTGCCTGCCTGCGTGCCTGCGTGCCTGCCTGCCTGCGTGCCTGCGTGCCTGCGTGCCTGCGTGCCTGCGTGCCTGCGTGCCTGCGTGCCTGCGTGCCTGCGTGCCTGCGTGCCTGCGTGCCGTGCCTGTGTGCCGTGCCTGCGTGCCGTGCCTGCGTGCCTTGCGTGCCGTGCTTTCCTTGCGTGCCTTGCGTGCCTTTCGTGCCCTGCGTGCCCTGCGTGCCTTGCGTGCCCTGTGTGCCCTGCGCGGCCTGCGCGGCCTGCGCGGCCTGCGCGGCCTGCGCGCCTGCGCGCGCAGCCTGCGTGGCCTGCGCGCCCTGCGTGCCTGCGCGCCTGCGCGCCTGCGCGCCTGCGCGCCTGCGCGTCGCGCGTCTGCGCGTCTGTGTCTGTGTCTGTGTCTGTGTCTGTGTCTGTGTCTGTGTCGTGTTTTGTTTTTTGTTTTGATTTGCGTTTTTTGTTTTGTTTCCTTGTTTTGTTCTTTTCTTCTTCTTCTTCTTCTTTTTAGGGGGGGTCACCAACGTTGACACATGCCTAGGTGCATCTTTTCCACCCACTGAAAGCTTCGGGGTGGGCTCTGGGGTAGCTCTGCGGTAAATTAGGGGGTTCAGTCGGAGCTGTTGGCTTTTTTTGGATACCCCGGTATATGGCTATGAATGTCAATGGGGAACCACCTCCAAAGTAGTTTGGTGGATACGAATCTCCATCCAAACGATGTCCATGTCCACCAAGGGAGCTCCTCATGGAAGTTTATGCCATGTGGGCAAATTCTTGGGACCTCACTTCTTTGAGGAGTTTCGCGGAGCGTTCCAGATTTTGCATTTGTGCGTGGCATTTGTTCTTCGAACGGCTGATTGAAGTCGGTTTCGGTGGCAGACGCAGATCAAACAAAGCCTTCAGGTGAAAGGGATGAACCCCCAAAATGGGTTGGGAGTGTGGCGAATCTTTCCGATTTCCACCCAACCGGACCCAAGTTTCGGGCTGGCAACAGGAAATGAAACGCAAGCGCCTGCTTGCGCTGGGGCTGGTGATTTGGATCTGAGAGTGGTATCGATGTGCAGCCTCTAGGAAGCATGCAGTATGGAAGCCAGGCAAATCAGTCATGTGCGCAAGAACAAAAATCCGTGTTCAAGCCCCGAAGAGACTTTGCAATGCGCCGGGCACAAAGTGCTTGATATCCTCTTGAGCCGCTCCCAAAGTTTGGACGGCTCCCAAATAACGAGCTTCGCCTAAGAAGGGCGAAGCGGAGAGGTTTTCGGATGGCGCGCAAAGGGAGCGGAAGGCTTGCGGAGAGTTTGTTGGGAAGGTTGGGCCCGCCTTGTGGCGTGACGTTGAGGAGCATGCAAACAAGGCGAGTCTAGCCCGACACAGCACCTGGATTTGGCGAGTCTCGCCCGCTTGGCTTCTAGATTCTACCAATTTTGGACCCCTGAAAGACAATCAGTCAAGCCGTAGTTTCTAGTCCTACCAATCTTTGACCGCTCGCAATCTTGGCGGTTCCCCGCCTTTTGCTTAGGTGTTGAGGTTCGGGTTTGGTAGCTCCAGTAAGCCGCTAACAGTTGAACACTTTTAGGAGATCTGGGAACCACCCCGTTTCTTAAGATGCCCAAGTTCCGCATCTGGTGATGGTGATGGGCCGTTTGGGTCGCCAAATGCGAGAGATGTATATCTCTTGGGTTGGCACGGAGGTGTGCCAAATGCCATTTCTCAGGTTCTCCTGAATTGGTGGTTTGTTGGTTGGTAGGCAACCCTTGGTTGGTGGTGGAGTTGGTGGTTTGGGTTTGGATTTGAGCCACTGCTTCTTTGAAAGGATAGCTGGGAAACCACTCCTAAGCATGAAACCGCCAATCCAACCCACCAAGCAGAGGAAACATCGTTGCATGTTGCCAAGGGATGTGAGGACTGAATCACTTTTTGCCAACAAATGGGGTTGTCCCCATTAAACCCACTAAAAGTGTTTTCAACTAATTTAGCAGGGGAGCAGAAAGCAACCAGGTTTTGGTGGTAGATGATGGCTTTCTTTCTGGGGTTACTTGAAGGAACCCAACATGGAGTTCTCACTTCCTGAGGTTCATGAACTTTAAACTTTTTGGGAAGACCATTTTAGTGGCAAATATAAAGTTTGGACTTTTTTTGGCCAGTCAACTTGCGAAGTGAGTTGAAGGAACCCAACATGGAGGTCGTTTGTGAACATTTTAACCCACCCAGCAGGGGAAAGCTGACCTTCTGCGGCCAGCCTGCGCCGTTTTGCGCCTTCTCCGCGCGCCCAGATGGAGACGGAGGAGCTCATGCCGATGACCCATTGGGCTGCGCCCAGTAGGGAGCCTTAACGGCGGGCTGAGGGAGAGAGGGCGTGGGGCGTGGTGGCGTTTTTGTTGCTTGCTCGCTTGCTTGCTTGCTTGCTTGATTGTTTGCTTGCCTCTTTGCGACATTTTGATTTGTTTTGCCTGGCTTTGGTTTGTGTCTTGTCTTGCTCTGCTTTGCTTTGTAGTCTCTTGCCTTGCCTTACTCGTGCCTTGTCCGCCTTCCAGACTGTTTCTATGTATGTATGTAAATGCAAATGTAAATTTACCATATCACGTAAATTTAAATGTAACTGTAAACGCAATGCAAATGAACTGCAGATGTAACTGTAATTGTAATGTAATGTTTGTTTGCTTGCTTGCTTCTGCTTGTTTGCTTGCTTGTTTACTTGCTTGGTCGGTCGGTCGGTCTGTGTGTTTCTTTTGTTTCTTTGTTTCTTTGTTTGTTTCTTTGTTTCTTTGTTGGTTTTTTGTTTGTTTTGTTTGTTTTGTTTGTTTGTTTGTTTGTTTGTTTTGTTTGTTTGTTTGCTTGTTTGCTTGCTTGCTTGTTCGTTCCGTTTGTCCGTTCGTTTACTTAATTTCTGTGGGGTTGTTCGTTTGGTTTGAATTCTGCGCATGTCGACTTGCTTCTTCGTATCCGGCTTTTGCGGGCACGTGGCTGTAGGTTTCACACTCGCGTCTTTTTGGAGGACACCCTGGCATGATTTTCTCGCGGGGGTGTTGCAAGAGATACCGCGGCGCGAACTGCGACGTGCAGCACGTCGCAGTTGGGATAGATGAAGTTCCATGGGATACTAAGCGGATGTCGCGATACGGTTTCATCTCTCTTTCAAGTCCAGGTCACCCAGTGCCCTTTTTAACTTTTTTTTTGAGGAGGGTTCCCCGTTCCCCTACCAAAATAGACTACAGGAAAAATGGGTACCGACTTATCCCAACCATCCTAACCTCTCAAATCTGGAGTACCTAGTGCTGCGCCGTCATCCACATCCCAAAATGCACCGCCCGCTTTCCCCCCAAACGTGCGGGGCGTCCCAAAGGCCCTGAGGGCCACCCGCCCATGGTGCTGTGCTGCAACCGGACACAGGCGCGGGATTCGCCATTGGGGACAGGCTTGTGGTGGATCACTCGCTATGGGTTTCTCCAACCACTGCCGTGATACTTTTGCGAATCTCCCCCCTTTTTCTGGGGGAAATTCGTCTTTGGGGTTAGGCCCTTTTCTCAGTTGTTCAAAACCGACCTTTTGACCTCTTGGTTTTCCGGTTTTGGTCCATTTTTAGTCGAGGTCCCAAAAGGTTAACCTTTTATGTCCAGGTCCTTTGGGCAAGTGAGTTTTCGTTGTATCACAGATCCGTGGATTCTATTTCCCAGAACCCTGGTTGGGGACGTTGAGAAGCTCAGCCAATGCAAATTTCCTCCGGATCAAGCTCTTTGGATCCGTCCCGTGATATTTTTTTTGGAGGACACCTAGCCCTAGGTTTGAAAGGGAAGCTAAAGGCTCAAAAAGACTGGGCATTTTGGGGGTACCCGAAAAAAAGATACAGACCCATGCAGCGTTATCTTTCTTTTTTTGGTTCTTTTGGTTTTTAGTATGCAAAAAGCAGTCAGTTTTTTTTGCAAGCCCGTACCGAAGGTTGAAAAGTACTTGAAATCAAAGCCGAGGCAGATGAAGGTTCGGGATAGTGGTTCTGGGTAGACCAAAACAAAAACCGATCGGTTTTGATTCTTGACTTACTTGGGGATTCTGACTAAAACTGGTGAGCATAGGTGTCCTTTTTGGTTTGCAATTAAAAAATCGAGGGGTTTGATTCCTGGTTTAGATGGGGGTTTCTTCCATTTACCCGGGGAACCCATCGATTTTTTTCCCAAAGGCCGCCTCTGGCGAGGGAGCTGAAGGCAATTTGTTCAGCCTTCCCGCGTGCCTCTCCACCTCCGGGAACCGGATCGCAAGGGCAAAAGCGCGAAGAAGATGCTGAATACTTGGGGGGAACCCCAGCCATCCGGTTCGAAGTAGCTTTTTCGCTTTTTAGTTGGGCTTAGTGAAGTTGGGGTTTTCGGATTTTTTTTTCCCACGCCCTTTTCTCTCGGCCTCTAGTTTGCCGGGCTTGGTGGGTTCTTTCGCTTTCTTCTTTGTCCTTGGTTCCTCTCCTGGCTGGGTGGAGTTGTTCTTTGGGATGTTCTGTTGATTGTCTGTTGGAGTTGTGTGAAACGTGTGTTCTCCCCCCTTCATCTTTGTCATTTCGCTCCTCTTTCTGGGACATGGCTGGAGGGGTTGTTGTTGGAGTTCTGTTGTATTGTGCCTCTTCTTTCTTGGCTTGGCTGAAGCGTGGGTTGTTGGGTGATTGAGCGGGTAGATGTTGCCTGGAGTGGGTGCGTGGGTGGGTGCGTGGGTGGGTGGGTGGGTGGGTGGGTGGGTGGGTGGGTGGGTGGGTGGGTGGGTGGGTGGGTGGGTGGGTGGGTGGGTGGGTGGGTGTTTGTGTGTGTGTGTGTGTGTGTGTGTGTGTGTGTGTGTGTGTGTGTGTGTGTGTGTGTGTGTGTGTGTGTGTGTGTGGGGGGGGTGGGGGGGGCGGGGTGGGGTGGGGGTGGGGTGGGGTGGGTGGGGTGGGTGGGGTGGGTGGGGTGGGGTGGGTGGGTGGGTGGGTGGGGTGGTGGGGTGGGGTGGGTGGGTGGGTGGGTGGGTGGGTGGGTGGGTGGGGTGGGTGGGTGGTAGGTGCAAATGCCCCAAAATAAAGAAGGAGTGCTTTCCAGCCTACGGTGAGAACATAGCTTTGTAAATTTGTAGCGCAATTGGTGGAGCGCTGTCTCGACATCGGGAACCTGCAAGCAAATCGTTTCCAAAGCTGCGCTGCAGCCTTGCGATGGCTGCAGGAACGGCGGTGACAGCCCACTTTAGGCTAGGTCCCCCAGTAGTGCCCTTTTAGCCCCCTTTTTTGAGGGAGGGTTCCCCTACTCAAATAGACAGAAGAAAGTTGGTACCCTTATCAGGGCTCCTTGAAAGATCTACATCTTGCCACCATTTGAGTTACATGTGGCTTTTTCAACACCAAGTTAAAGTTGGAAACAACACCAAATAGACAGGTTGCAACGTCCGATCGGTGTTTTTCCATGCATCCGGATCCCTGCTTATTCTAAGCTCTCAAATCTGCTGGACCTAGGGTTTGCCATTGCCGTTGGGCTCTTGAAGGCTTCTGAAAGGGAGACTGCGAAGAACATTGGGCGAGTTGACCGCGAGCGGCTGGCCAGTTTCGCCAAATACCGGGTTGTGGTTGATCCCTCGGGTTTTTCCAAGCACTTCTGTGATACTTTTGGGAATCTCCCCCTTTCTATGGGGGGTTAGTCTTTGGGAAGCCCTTTTTGTTGTATCACAGAAGTGGTGATTTCCCACAGCCCTGGCCAAATATGCCGTGGCATACTCGCCAGGCAAAAAGACACGAGGGTCGCTCGTGAAGAAATCCTTCATGGCCACATCGAGATTTGCTTGTTAACGCATTTAAAGTCATGGGGATGAATCGCTTTGGTCTCACGACCCATTTCCCATGATTCATTGCCAGACTCAGCTTATACCTTTTTAACATTTTGCCTTTGTTGGGTTTCCATCATGGTTACCTCTCAACCAGCAAGAAACCAACTTTTCGCAGGGGGTCCAAGTCTGGTCATGTATTTTGGTTTGGGATTTCCTCTACCTGCGGCTTTTTGGCAGGTGATCGCCCCCCTGGGCATCCGGATTGCACGGGTCGAGGACCGTTGGCCGCCTTGGCGCCAGCACAAGAGTTCTCGGTCTGGGGGGGATTGCTTGGCTTGGGGGGCGGCTTTCCATGGATAAGCAGCCACCCTCATAGTCTAGAAACCCTTTTCAAGGGAGGCGGTTCATTTCGGTGCAAAAAGCCAAACCTTGCGGTTTTCAGGTACAGGGGGTACCCTGGTTTCGTTTCTATTTCCCAACTTGCCAAAGCCCTCTTATGTCGGTCAAGAGCGGTTTCAACCCTGTTTGTGGTTTTGGCCTCGGGTCCCCTCTTTAGCGGAGATTCCTGTTTTTGGGGGACCCCTTGATTAATACCTGGTGTGTGTGTGTGTGTGCATTGATCCGAGGTCAACATTGAATCAGGCAACCTCATATTTGGTGGTTTGGATTTGAACCCCTGGTTCTTGCAGAGGGTGAGTGGGAAGCTACCCCCCAACCGCCAAACCACCCATCCAAACCATCAAGAGGCCTGACGCTGGGCTTTCAGGGGCGGTTTGCCAATAGGCGTTATGCATTCATTGCCCCGTAGCCCTCGTTGTCTCTTGCAAGCAGGTAGCGCCCAAAAGGTTCCTCTTTTTTCCCAAGCAAAAAATCCAGGGGACTATGGCTCACGCAATTTGTCGAGCATGTACGGCAGAATAACAGTAGCTATAGACGGGATGCTCGAAAGGAAGTCTCGTGTGGCTCTCGAAATTTCCTTTCGCGGCTTCTCGCCCGCCCGCATCCACATCGCCTGGCGCTCAAGCCACGAAAAGCGATGTGGCGGTAGGGCGACGGGGCGGTTCCGCCCCATGGTAGCGGGGCAACTCTCAAGCGCCTTGGCAAGAACTCGAGTCGGCCAAAGCGGTGTATTTGGAGGTCCGAAAACGACATGTCCATTTGCTGAACTGAATATTTTGCTTATGTTCCCCTGTTGGTTTTAGAGGGAATCTATCACTACTGGAGATATGTTCTCATTTTTGCAGAGAACTTAAGCAAACGGAAGGTTGGTTTCCTGCTGGCATCGTTTCAGTGGCCAAACAAGCATGGGGGAACACGTGCCCATCTTGCAAGTGTTCAAAAGGGAGGAATGCCCCCCTTCAAAACGAAGAAGGGTCCCTGTTTAGCTGGGATTCCTTCCTTGGGGCCCTCCTTGATTAGTAACTGAGGGGGATCTCACACTGGGTCGACCCAGAGAACGAAAAGTCGACCTTGTTTCCCCATTGAGCTGCGAAACTGGGGACCCAGTTCAGGACACCCTTCAACAAATCCATGGTTCTTCTTTCTTGGTTGCTGTTGACCCCTCCTCAAAAAGTGTCACTTTTGTTGTGTGCAATGGACAATCCACCGTTTCAACCGTTAAAGTCCAAAGATCCAACCAAATAGCCACAAAGAAAAGTGGCTTCCTCTGTGCTTTTTGGTTGAACCCTCCCTGGAAAATATCCAAATAGCCATCAAGCTTTGAACCCTTTTGGTTTTCAACCCGCCCTGGACCAATTGCTCAACAAGCGGAGCTGCTTTTGGTTCTCCGCTTCATCAAAGCATCCAAGCCTCACCCCATATGGTGCCAACCAGAAGTAGGTGTGGCCACCTTTTACCCTTTTGCTTCTCCCCTCCCCCCCGTCATCGCGAGCACTTGGGATCTATTTTGCAGCCTCCATTTTGCGTTTTGGTTTTTAGGGCTCTCTGCAAAACATGACTCTAGGTGTCCATGTGTCCATGCCCCCCCCCCCCCCCCGCTTTCCCGGGCAAAACAAAGACACCTCGGTTTCCTCAGCTCAGATGGCGGCTCGCCTTCGAGCGTCTCCCGCGCGCACGCCTTCGAGCCTTGGCTGGTCGAAACCCAGGGGTTGGAGGTGGCAAAAGCTGTGAGCCTTGAGGCCAGTTCCTTTTTGGGTTGGGAGGGGTGTCGTCTACTAAAATAGACGACAGAAAAAAGTGGGCACCCACTTTTTCTAACCACTCTACTGGACTAGTTAAGGGAAGGACCAGCAGGGGGAAGACAATTCGGTGGAATCCACACAAGGCGGATCCAAAGCCATTTTCTAGGCCAGATACTACCTTTTTTTTTGGCAACCCCCCTTTTGTCCGATTCCATTGAGATTCCATGTTCTGCAGGGAAGCTTGGGACGCCAAAAGGAAACCATTTTTCGGGTGGCCCTCATGTTTGGTCCATGATAAATAGGAAATCTTGGGGGACCAGGGTTTTGACAATTAGGTAAATTATAAGTCTCCATTCAGTGGGCTCTAACTAGGCTTACCAACCACTTACTAAGTACCTCGCCCCTTTAAGTACGCGCTTTTCCTCCCCGTTTGGAATGTGAGCCCTTCGTGCCCTCCCAAAACAACATCAACGACAGTGATTTCACTACTTTTGGTGGTCCTTTGTTGAGCTTGCCGCGTTCGTGGCGTTTTGTGTTTGACTAGTTCCACTTCTTACTCTCAGACCATTGTAAGTCTCTCAGTGGGTTCTTTCACCTACGAACCACTTCCTAACCGCTTACTGCCCCTCCTGTACCCCAAGCTGACCGCTCCGGCATAGCCACACGGGTTTAGCCAAACCACTGCCTTGTACTCTATTGCTCTTTTTTTTTAGTGGTCCCAGTGGCTCCCGGCTCATGGTTGAATATTTTGGTGGTGTTCCCCTACAGAAATCTGGATCCCCCACCCCACAGAAATAGACACCCCCGCTATGAATAAGCAGGTTGATGAACATGGGGTCAACAGTACCTGTTGTAAGCCTGGATATCACCGACTTAGACTTATAACCATGGCTTCTGTGGGTTATCTCACCATGGTTATTGCCCAAGTACCTGACGTACCTACTGCCCCTTTAAGAGTGGATCCAGTGGGGAGGAGTTGCATTAATCACCTTTGGAGGGGAACACCCCACCCCCCTATGAATAACCTGGAGTTGATTCATTCGGGGTCAACCTTAGCATGATCTGGGGGAACTATTGATAAAATAATCTGACCCCAAACAAGGAACTCCAAAAAAACAAACCAGTCACCAATCGAACCCCCAAAGTGAAATCCCCACATTTCACCCAGAAACGACAACCCCCCTAGTGGATCCCAACACCCTCACCCCGCCTATTAATAACCTAGGGTTGATTTATCTGAAATTTCCCACTTCCCTCTACCGCATCCATCGCCCCCTTTTCAGCCGTTTTTCCCCCCATCACCGGTCCGAACAATCAAAAAAACGCAGCAACCACAAAAACCCCTAACAACGAAAAACCTAACAAACAAACAAAAAAAAGCAAAAAAACAAAGCAACAACAAATAAACAATCAATAAAACAACCAAAAAAACAAAAAGCAAAACAACAACAAATAAACAATCAAAAAAACAACCAAAAAAACAAAAAACAAAACAACAACAAATAAACAATCAAAAAAACAACCAAACCAAAAAAACCAAGAAAAACAAAAAACAAAAAACAAAAACTAAAAAAAAAAACAAAAAAGAAACAAAAAAACAACAAAACCAAAATCCGCCGCAGGCGCTGTCGGACCTGGGGGACGCGGAGCTGTCGCAGGGCGCCACGCTGAAGGCCTTGGAGGCCTTCGATGCGGCCCTGGAGCAGGAACGAATCCGCGAGCCGAGCCGAGCCGAGCGAGCTCGTGGGAGTCGTTCTGGTGCTTGTTATTGTTATTATTTGTGGCTTTTTGTTTGTTTCTTCTTTGTTTTTCTTCTTTGTTTGTATGTTTGTTGGTTGTTTGAGTGTTTTTGTTTGAGTGTTTTTGTTTGTTTGTTTGTTTGTTTGTTTGCTTGCTTGTTTGTTTGATTGATTGTTTGATTGATTGATTGATTGATTGATTGATTGATTGATTGATTGATTGATTGATTGTTTATTTGTTGGTTGTTTGCTTTTTGTTTGTTTGTTTGTTAGGTTTTTAGTTGTTTGTATGTTTGTTGGTTGTTCGTGTGTTTTTTGTTTGTTTGTTTGTTGGTTGTTCGCGTTTTTTTTTGTTTGTTTGTTAGGTTTTTAGTTGTTAGGGTTTTTGTGGTTGTTGTGTGTTTTGTTTGTTTGTTATCTTTTATTAGTCGTTTCTCGTTCTTCCATCATGATGTTTAGTCATTATGTGTTTTGTTCTTTTTGTTGTAATTGTTACTAGAAACACATTATATTGTTATATTTTTGTTGTAAGTATCCAATTAGGTGTCTTTTAGATTTCTTCCCTGGTTGTTAGGGGTTTCGTTACTCCGTTATTTTTTTGTTCCCGGTGGCTTTGGTGTCTTCGGTGTTTTGGTTCTGTTCATCGTTCGGCCGCAGGCAGTCAGGGAAAGAGAGCGAGCCGGTGCCGGAGGATCCATGGGACTGGATCCTTCGGGAAAAATCGGCTTCTGAGTGGTGGCCGGGCTCACGAAAAGCAGGAGGAGACGAAAAGAAGTTGGCTCAACCACCATATGTTTTCCGATATGTTTCGTCTCTTTCCGATATTTCGTCTCTTTGAAAGCTCCTTCCGATATTTTTTTCCGACGAAAGCGCACAAGTTGGCTCCCGCCATGTTGCGAACTCCATATTCCTGCCGTTTGTTTGGCAGGTTTCGCAAGCGAAGCCATCTGCAAATCGATATTTTCTCGGTGTAGAGTTGGGCAAACATTTTAGCGAACTCTGGTGGTGAGCCGGCGATCAAAGAAGCACGCAGGTGGTTTCCCCAACAGCCCCGGAACTTCCCTAGAACCCTCCTTTGGCATGCTTCCTGACAGCTGCCCCAAACCACCCAGAGCTGATTTGGGCAAAGACCTAAAAGCTGAAAACTTTAGTTTCGGGGTTAAAGGTTCCTGTATTCAGGCTTAGAAATGCTGCAGCCGACAAAAACTGTCAGCTGTTGGGGGCAAAAAGGCGACCCCCTTGAGTTTTTTCGCCCGCCGCGAGGAGGATCGCTGGCCCACCATTTGGCTCCACCGGGCTCAGGAGCGCGGAATTGGCCGCGAATCGTTCGAGCAAGTGCCTCCCGGTGGCTTGGAAGCTTTAACAGGAAAGTTACTCCTTGAAAGTGGTGGACGTAAATCCTCACCATGATGTCCACCAGAGTCCTCAATGAAGATTCATTTGTGCGTGCGTGTGCGCGTGTGCGTGCGCGTGTTTGTGTTTGAGGGGCACTACTTTTTAGGGCTGGCCGAAAGAAACCGCAGGTGGAGTGAAAGTAGCTGGCGCAAATCCCATGTGGGCAAGTAAAGAGAATGAACAAAAACTGGGGCCGGAGTTGACAACCCTCGCCATCTACCAAATGATCAAAGCTGGGAAACGCTTGGGCCGAATTTTACGCGGAGAGTTCTGCCGTCCACTTTTTGCCCTTGTGGTTTTCCCCCGTTTCCTCTCAACCATCAGAAGCCCAGCTTTTTGCATAAGGCCCGGCTCAGAACTTAACTGTCTTTCAAAATGGGCGTGTCTTAAACTAGGAATACCAACCCAAAATGGCGCCACAATCAAAACCCGGGTATTTGGAGGGTAGTAAGGGACAATCCCAGCCATAAATAGCTGCGGCCGCCTTCTTAATTCTTTGCATGGTTCTGGGTCGACCATTTTTGTACCAGGTTTTGGTTATGACTCAAATGGCGCAACAGGTTCTTTTTTGGAATCCCTTTAAGCCAAGAAGGGTACCTCCTTGAAAGATGAGCCAAATGGCCATGAATTTCAGTAATGAACCACCTCCAAAGTGGTTGGTGGACATGAATCCCCAGCTAAATGATGTCCACCATTTCGGCTGCCCTATGAACATTTGCACCAGATGGCTTCTTTTTTGGTTTCTTCACTAAGGCCAGGGTCCTTTTGGCCTCCAAAGTCAAATACGAATTCAAGCAGCTTCGGGTTTCCTGGTGGTTTCCCTTCAAGCTGGGTTTCGTCTGGGTTTCCTGTGCCTCCAAGAAACACGCGCCAAGTGGAGTTCGCAAGCTGGGCGCTTCCGCCGCGAGGGGCGGCTGGCGGACGGGGACTTCGCGGGGGCCGTGGCGGACGCGTCGCGGTGCTTGGGGATGGGGAAGGTGCCCTTAGCGCTGCAGGCGGGGGGGCTGGGGGGAGGGGGGGGGTGGGGGGGGAGGTTGGTGGGTGGGGTTGGGGGTGGATACTAGGGCCTGGGGTGGGGGGGTTGGGCTGGGGAGGGTGGTTGGGGAGAGAGGGGGGGGGTGGAGGGTGGGTGGGGGGAGGGGGGCGGGGAGGTGGTTGCGGTTGCTGTCTGTTGAGTTTTGGAATCGCAATCTTGGCGCATCAGCCCCTCTGATATAGTGGCCAATTCTATTGTGGTTGTTCTCATTAAACCTCTGGAGGCAGTCGTTTGGGGATAGTGAAAACCATCTTTGATTCCAGTATGCGACAGGCTGCATGAGCTACCCCGCGCAGGGCACTTTTCCTGAGAAGCGCAGAAGTCATATTCGCAGCATTCCCTGGCATCCTTTTTCAATATGCGTGCTCAAAAGTCACCTTTGCTTGGGGTTGTTGGTGGTCATATTCCCAAAGATGAGAGGAACCGAGCTTCTCTCCCTCGAGGATAGCACATGTTGACCACAGGGGTCATACACTCACTCCCTGAGTTCATGGACTTTATACTTTTTGGGAAGACCATTTTGGTGGTAAACAAAAAGTTTGGACTTTTTTTGGCCAATCAACGCAGGAAGCGAGTGCACCCTGTGGTAAACCCCATGGAATGCGTATCAACCTGAAACCTTCGGATGTAGCTACCGGCTTTCATGTGGGTTGCAGTCGGATTCCTGGCCGCTGCGTTTCGGTCATGTGGTTGAGCCAAAATCCATCTCAAAGAGCTCGAAGGGTTCGGCCGGCCGAAGATTGGTGTGGCTTTTTTTTAGGGCAGCCCCCCCAAAAAACAGAAGCACCCAAAAGGGGATCCGGGATACCCTCAAAACAACAACACCAGCATATGATGTTGGGGCTTCAAGGATTGAAGACCCAGCAACAAACAGCATGGGAGGGGTAAATAATTGGGATCCTCACTCCCGTTTGAGTTTCTGGAGGAAAGGTCGCTTTTTAGGTTTTGGTGGTACGAACAGTTTGGTGCCTTTTTTATTTGGCCAATCCACTCGTTCGGAAGTGAGGGAATGGCGATTTGGGGTACTGTTTTAAGACATTTCCGTCAGCGTATTGACAAGACAGCGTGTCATGATTTAGCCCTTTACCTCACCCTCAACCTTGGTCAGTGCTCCCTATACTTCCCTTTTGGCATGGTTTAAACATCGCCTTGGGTGGGTGATGTTTAAAGGGCATGTAGAACCGCACTCTCTGAGTTCCTGGACTTTATACTGTTTGGAAAGATCATTTTAGTGGCAGACACAAACAGTTTTTGGCTTTCTTTAGCAAATTTTCTCTCAGGAAGTGAGGAAATACCAGGTGGTTTCCTTTTGGTTTCCCTTGAAACCATTTTTAAGACGGGTGTCTCCCTCCAACGCGGCACCTGACAGGTCTCCTCCGAGGAAACTGATCTTCCTACCCAGGTGCTATGTGGGAAGAAGCAGCTTCTCAAAATATAGAAGCCCCAACTGGCAACGGTTTCCTTTCGGCTTCCCTTTAACCATCCGAAAAAGGGCACCCCAACAAAAGATCAACCTGACATTCCGGTACTTTTGTAAAAGAAACACGCCCAAAAAGGGGAACCGAGTCCTGGCGTCAAGTGTTTTCCGCCCCCAGCCCCTTCCGCGGGTTTTTTCTCGCGAACCCCATCGCGGGTTCCTCGACCGCCGCTCGGTAGGTGCGGGGCGAGGCCTTTCGCCGCAGCGGGGAGCCGGCGCAGGCGGACTCTTCGGAGGGCTACCGGAGGTTCGGTGGGCGAGGTGCCCCCAGCGATGGGTGCCCTTTCTGCCGTTTCTTTTTTTTGGGTTGGGAGGGTTTTCGTCTACTAACATAGACGACAGAAAAAAGTTGGTGCCCTTCTTCTGACCTCTCTACCGGACCTAGTGGGGATTTTGGTTGGGAAAAAAATCCGGTCCGATGAAATCTGACTGAGGGCTGGAAGACGACTTTTTCCCTTTTGAAGGGCGCCCATTTGTTTGGTGTGTTCTGATGTTGACCCCGGATTAATAAACCCCGGTTTATTAATATGGGGGTGTCCCCGGTTTTAGTGGGGATTTATCACTTCTGGAGGGAAACACCCCCATATTAATAAACAGGGGTTTATTAATCCGGGGTCAACATTAATTATGTTGGACAGGAGGAAGTCCATTTGTGCGGAGAAAGGAGCCTTGATGACCACTGTAGTGAGTCCTATTTTTTTTTGGGGGAGCATAGGACAAAGAAGGAGTTTTGACCAGTTTTGGCTCGGTAGGGCTCGGCTCTGCGGGGTAAGCAGGTGACGTGCCGGACAATCCCGTCTGGGGCAGTTGGGGCCACCTTGTGTAACTTCCACCCACCCTGAACAATGAACGTGCCTGAAATGGACCCCCCTAAACCTAACCCACCCAAACCGACCCTAATCCTACTGGAAGCCTGCGCGGAGCCCGCCCTGGACCCACCCTCAACCGACCCTACCACAAACCTTCCCGAACTTACCTGAAACCTACGTGAAACCTACCTGAAACCTACCCTTAGCCCACGCTGAATTGTAGACTGAAATCCCGCTCTTTCGTGCACGCCAGGCTGGGTTAGGAAAACCACCGCCTCAGCCCTTGCTTTTGGTTTTGGGTGAGAGTGAGGGGGGTGTTTCCGGCACACCGGGTAAGAGCTCATCTAGGCGAACAAGATAGGTTTTAAAGTGATCAGCGTAGGCCTCCCCAATTGCCCCGACTTTTTCTCACCCAAAATCTCACTTCCGGAGTGCCTTGACTTCATACTTTTTGGGAAGACCACTTGGTAAATCAACAGTTTGGGGACTTTTTTGGCCCATGCACTCAAGTGAGCATTTTTTTCCCCTCCCCCTCCCCCCACCCCTCCACCCTCCCCACGCCCCCTGAGGCGCTGCCAGACTTTGACGCCTTCCTGGCCTTCCTGGCGTCTGAAAGCGCCATGGCGGAAACCGCGGCCGGCGCCACGACCCTGTGGCGCCGCAGCAGGTGCCACCTGGAGATGGGGCAGCTGCAGGAGCGAGGGAGCGAGGGAGCGAGGGACCCGCGGACCCGTAGCGCTTGGTGGGTTTTTAACGACCAATGGGCGTCGCAGGTGTCCTTTTTGGTGGGTTTTGCTTTTAAACAAATGAGAAGGCGATTCCTTTTTTTTGATATATATTTAATTTATTTCCTGGTGGTTCAATCATCTACCAGCGCCTGATGGGGCTATGGGTCAAAACCCCGGAAACCCACCCAGTGAACATCCCAATCCAGCCACTAAAATAGGTTCTAAAATGGGTGGTGAAGTCACCTACCCCAAAATGGCACCATTGGTGTTGACCCACGGCCATAGTGTAACGCAAATGGACGTTTTGAGACTCAACTTTTCGGCAACAGGGACACCCTCCAGTTTACTGTCACTTACCAGCGCTTCGTGGTCGAGTATCGTTGGTTTGCTTTCAGTATTTCGGGCATCCGCACCCCGAAAACTTTTGCAATTTGTTATTTGTTTGGGTCATCCCAACAAAAAGTGCCCCACATATTTTGTTCAACAGATCCCCCCAGATCAGGCCTTTGAAACTTTTGTGCATTTTGCTTGGATGTTAGGACTTTAACTTTTTGCTAGCTAATGGGTTTTCCGTATTAAACCACTAAAAGTTAAACTTTTAGCAGGGGTGCAGAAAGCAACCAACGAAGATTCCTTGCAATTTGCATGGAAACCTACGCCTTACTTGGGCCTTACTGGGCCAAAGAAGGCCTGAGACGACTGGGTCGGGAGGCTTCTGTGCCATGTATTCGTCAGCTTGCCGAGCCAACCAGCTTTTTTCGGAGAAGCCGACTTGCACCAGCCACCAACAATTGAGAAGGTATCTACTCAAGCCAACCGTTTTTTTTTTTTTCTTTTTTTTTTTTTTCTTTTTTTTTCTTCTTCTTTTTTTCCGGAAACCGACTTGCAATGGCCACCATGTGTAAGGCTACATTACCCCAGTTTACCCTAAAAGTGGCTTCGGTTTCTTGGTGGCTCCCAGCCATCCAATTTGGTGTTCAGTTTGTAGTTTCCGAATTTAACCCACGAACAGTGAGAGTCTCACTTTTCGCGGATCGGAAAACGGGCCCAGGTTTGGGGGAGCGGTTTTTCCTTGCTTCGTTTGGATTTTTTTCCCTGGGGGGTGGCTTCGGTTTTTTCGGAGTCCGTCGCAAACCCACTTGCAATAGCCACCACGTGAAGGCCACAAAAAAAAACCTCCGGTTTACCCGGGGGTGCAAAAAAAAACCATCCGCAGAGCTCCGGGCCCCGCGGCGTTTTTTTTCTTTCTCCGCGCGGAGCGACTCGACGAATCCGAGGAGGCCATCGCCGACAGCCAGGCCGCCCTGGCGCTGGGGCAGCTGATGCCCCTGGAGCGTGCGGACTGCTGGCGGGCCGGTGGCCTCTGCCATGGTTTTTCCCACCCCCAAGCGGTTGACGAGGTGTGACAAAAACCAACAGAATGTTTTTCGGTCATAACATGTGGTTGACCTAGGGGTTCACTCCAAAGCGCCTCATCTTCAGCAGTTTCCTAAAGCTTCCCCAAATGAGTCACAACCGAAGGCCTGGTATTAGAATTGGGGGCAGTAAAGGACAATCCAAGCCATGAATGGGTGCGGCCGCTGTTCAATTCTTTGAACAAATGGCTCGTTGGTGTGCCGTTGGTTTCCCCAAGCAGCTCAAGTTTTGGGGGTGTCTTACCTCAACAAAGGACAGCCCCCTTTGAGGCAGAATCAAAACTGCTCACATCAAAATGGTCTACTAACCCCCCCCCCCCCCTAAAAAAAAAAGAGAGAGGGGACATCATCGCGTTTTTTTTCTTCCCCCTGGGGGCGATGTCTTCCCGACGCCGAACCGTCTGCAGCTCCCGCAGCTCCCGCAGCTCCCGCAGGCTGGTGACGGCCAAGGGGAAGATGCGGCTGGCGCTGGACGCCGAGGAGGTGGCCAAGGCGACGGCGACGAGCCCGGTGTGGGTGGATGGGCGGCGTCCAGATCATCGGGGTCCCCCGGCTCGGGGCCAACGATTACCCATTTTTTTTGGTTTCTTGTTTCTTTTTTGGGGAGGGGTTTTCGGCTACTAAAATAGACAGGCAAAAGTTGGTACCAACTTCTTCTAACCTCTCTACTGGAGGACCTAGTCATTTATCCTTTAGAACCAGGGGTTCAAATCCAAATGCAAACCAATGCAAGCCAATTAAGGGGTACCCTCCCAGCGTGAGCATGGAGAAATATGGACAATCATCTCTCGTTTGCTGAGCTAACTATTTGTTCATTTTCCCCTCTTGTTTTTAACAGGAATCGAATTCACTATGGTCACTGCTGGAAATATGTTCTCATTTTTTCCAGGTGGCGAATACGCAAATGGAAGTTTGGGAGTCCCGTTTTCGGAGTTTTTCCGGGACTCCTGGGGAAGTTTCGAAGGGAAAGCAAAGGGAAAACCCAGCATTTGTTCGAGTTCCAATTGATTTCTGCGGAAAAAAAAGGGTTCCAAATGCGTGTCTGATTTTTGAGGGCATTCTGGTTGGGGTGGCTTAAGGCGACACCTAAGATAAAGCCACCTAATGTTCACTTCGAACTAAGGAGGACCCCACTAGTCAAAGGATCCCCATGATTTCTTGACTAAACGGGATTAAACATGGTCCTCGGGACTAACCTCACATTATGTTGGGGAGTTCCCCTATGTGGGTTCATCTTATAGGGGACCCCCACAAAATGGGGCTTCGGTGTGCTTTTGGCTTCCCTTTACCAAACCAAAGGGGTACCAACCTCACTGCCAAACGAGTGGATTGGCCAAGAAAACGTCGCACACTTTTATTTACCACTCAAATGGTCCAGATTTCCCTTTATGTGATAAAACATGCGGATTCCTGTTTCCCAAAGGGAATGATCCCTCAAAGGGACCGGTTCTAAATTTAAAATCGTCACAAGTGAAGGTTTCTTTCATGTGCCTTAGGGATCCATTTCTCTCTTTTCGGCGAAGGATGAAAAATCATTTGCCCAGATGCCACACTATTGCATAGTGGTCATGGCAATCATATCGCACCATTAAACATCGTCATTTTCATTTGTTATGTAGCAGAAGCCTTTCCATGCGCATCTCTTTGGAGAGGCCGGGGTCGGATCTCATAAAGTCGTGGGAACCTTTAGGCCCCTTGGGTCTCGCAGGCGTGCACCTCCGCGCTGCTGGACAATCCCCGGCTCCACGAGGTGCTCTTGAAATTTTTCGACCAGGGAATCTCCGATCCCCAGCCAGGTGCCAACTTTTTAACCCAGCTTCTTTTGGGGAGGGTTTTCGTCTACTAAAATAGACAGACAAAAGTTGGTACCAACTTCTTCTAACCTCTCTACTGGAGGACCTAGCAGTTCAGGGCCACGGGTAGAAGAAGATGGGTTCCACTGGTTTAGATGGGTTTGCTATGCCATCCGTTTTCACCGGGGGAACCCATCGATTTTTCCAACAGGCCACTCATGGTCAGGGCTGTTTCCTTTGATATTCTGTTTTTGCCACCAGCAATGAAGGGAACATTGTCTAGGCATGCTGAAAGGCGTATTGGGCTTCCCAGCTTTCAACGGTTACGAGATGCTTTTTCCAGCTCAGGGCTGATTTTGCCAGGTTTTTTCAGAAGTGCAGCAGGGCCGGGCCCGGGCCCCCTCTGTTTCTTGCTAGATTCAGGGCTTCGTTTCCCTGGTGGAGCTAAGTGAGTCAGCTTGGACCTTGCCCACAGCAAGTCAGGATGAACCAAACTGCCGGTCGCTCACCGTGCTCTGTCGATATTTGTCGTGTGCAGCCTGGAAGTATCTGTGTGCTGCATCTCCCGCGTCAACGGCAGCTATGAACCTGTGAACCTATCAACCCCACGGGATCCTCGCAAAGTGCCTCCACTCCGGATCTTCTCGAGGGCTTTTTTTTTCCTCCGGGGCGAGGTCACGAAAGGTCGCGGGCGACTTCGACTTCCAAGAATAGCAGCCATCATGATCAATCTCTCTCAGGTTCGAGTGAGACAACGCGGCAGTCGCAGTGGTGAAGGCAGTTGCCATAGAAGTGGTAGGAGTGGTGCAAGTAGCAGAGCCGTGCTGCGCTTGCATACATTCGAGGCGGATATCCAACTCATTGCAAGACAATGCTGGGTGCTAGAAATCAAAACCCGGGTAATGGGAGGGCAGCAAGGGAGAACCCCAGCCATAAATGTGGTCGCCTTTTCAATCCTTTCCCACGGATTTGGGTTCAGCATTTTTGTACCAGGTTGAAGGACCTAGGATTTGAGAATGTACATCGACTATCCATACGACTTCACCCAGTAGACTGAAGGGTTTTTTGTGGGTTTGACCTTCAGAATAAGGGAACCCCGAACAGAAAGTATGTTTGGCATCTCCATTTTCTTTCCCAAGGCAGGTGAACCGTCTCCAGTTCCGACATGAATCTGTGAAAAGAGGAGGCGTTGCCAGTGACCCTTGAAAGGGTGCCTGGGTCCTTGAACCACCGCCGCTGGCGTTTTGGCCAGGCGATGCTGATACGTGGACAGGCGCCGCTTTTTTTCCTTTTTGTTTCTTCTTTTCAGTCGAAAGAGGTGGGGAGAGGTTTTCCTTTGCTCCCGGGGCATGGGAAGGGGTGTCGTACTTGGATACTTCCCCCATCGATGCGCACAACAAGGTCCCCCTAGGTGTCCACTTCTAACCCCTTTTTTGGGAGGGTTTTCGTCTACCTTTAGTAGACAAAACAGAAAACCATTGGCACCAACTTATTCTAACCTCTCAAATCTGGAGGACCTCAACCGGCGAATTTCCCGAGGCCGAAATCTTCGGAGCGAGCCGGAACGGCAAGGGAAACGGCCATCTGCTTGGCCGTAGTGGTCGGTGTCGTTGTTTTTGTTGGAGCTCTTTCGGGTGGCGGGGAACACTTTGTTTGGACACTCTCCCAAAATGGTGGACCTTTTTGGGGGTTGGCGCTTGAAGGGACACTAGAAGAAAGTCCATTTTTTATGGCCCGCTATATGTTGAGAAACCATTCGGAGCAGGTTATGCGTTGCTAAAAAGGGGTAACATCTAAGATAAATCAGTCACCCCCCCAAACACAAAAACAACAAACACAAAGGCACGGGTTTGTTCCTTTTGGAGTCCTCTTCTCTCATGCCGTGGGTACTTAAAGTAAAATTTGCAGAGAACCATAGGCCTTCGGTGAGTTTGGCTAGAAATAGATGGGATCCACTGGTTTAGATGGGTTTGGATATGGTTCAACATTACACTACTACCCTTTCCATTTACCACGGCAACCCATTTTGGGGTTACCCCATGTTTGACTCCTATAGCCGGTTTTATGGAAGTAGATAGTTTCCGGGCCGTATTCCCACAACCTGTCAGCTTGATTGCTGGGAGGGTTTATATGGGTTTTATCTTGCTGGTTTGATAGGCAGGGAAAGAGAAATAGAATGACCCTTATAGTTCCAGTATTCGGGAGTTCCGCAAAGCCGGTACATTTGTTTAGCACGTCGGAAGGTCATGGTCATTTCCCTACCTACCAAGCTTGTGGTTGGGGCATATGAGGAAACTTGGGCGATTTGGAGCCTTTGGATTTAAATAGCCAAACCACCACGCTCCCAACCACTTGGCTCCAATCCAACCCACCAAACCTCCCCCCTGATTCTTGCAGGCAAGTGGGAAACCATACCCAAAAAAAAAGCCATCCCCCCCGCACCCAACACCCCGGGCCTTCCCCACACCTTCCGCCGCAACGCGAGCGACGCAACGCGAGCGACGCCTTGCGAGGCCCAGCTGCAGCGGGGCTTCTTCGCCGCCTGCGACCTGGACTGCTCCCAGGCCCTCAGCGCCTGCCCCGCGCCCCGGGCGAAGCGGAGCGGAGCGAAGCGGGGGACGCGGGGGGCGGGGGGGGCGGGGTTCGGCTTTTGGGGTTGGTTAGGGCTTCGGGTTTAGGGGGCTTTCCCAGAAACATGGCGCCTGAGATGGTCGAAAGTGTGAATGGTTTGGATGTCTGTTTGGATTTGAAGCCCTGGTTCTTGAGGTAAATGGGAAGCGGCAGTGAACGTTGATGGCTCGAGGAACTCCCTAAATACACGCTGCCACCATGGCACCTGACAGGGAGAGATGGTCCCTCCAAGAGGAACTTTGATCTTGCAGGTATTTTGCACAGGTGCCACGGCAATGTGGGAGGGAGGGCACCTGGTTCTGCATTGGGATTGTATCTTCTTTTGGCCACCCTCCCCCTTATGGTAGGGGGGATGCCATGTCCATCTTAGGTGGTTCCACCTGATTACACATGATTTAGTTCGTCCAGCAGGGCCATCTTGGGTAAACGGTTCCTACCTGAGCCTGGGTATACATCGAATACCCTCACTCCCACTAACATGGCACCTGACAGGGGGTACCTTTTAACAGGAGACTGATCTTCCGGATACCCTCCCACAAATGCTATGTTACTCAACCCCCACATCCTCCCTGTGGAACGAATGGCCACTGAAACTGCGGGCCTAAAGGGGTGTTAAAAAAGACGCACAAACCCAACCAAAACAAAACAACAAAAAAAGCAAGCAAGCAAGCAAGCAAGCAAGCAAGCAAGCAAGCAAGCAAGCAAGCAAGCAGGCAGGCAGGCAGGCAGGCAGGCAAGCAGGCAAGCAGGCAGGCAAGCAAGCAAGCAAGCAAGCAAGCAAGCAGGCAAGCAGGCAAGCAGGCAAGCAGGCAAGCAGGCGAGCAAGCAGGCAAGCAGGCAAGCAGGCAGGCAAGCAGGCAAGCAGGCAAGCAGGCAAGCAGGCAAGCAGGCAAGCAAGCAAGCAAGCAAGCAAGCAAGCAAGCAAGCAAGCAAGCAAGCAAGCAAGCAAGCAAGCAAGCAAGCAAGCAAGCAAGCAAGCAAGCAAGCAAGCCAAGCAAAGCAAGCAAGCAAGCAAGCAAGCAAACAAACAAACAAACAAGCACGCAAACAAGCAAACAAACAAACCAACCAACAAACAAACAAACAAACAAACCCAACAAACCCAACAAACCAACACAAAACACAACAAGACAAGCAAAGCACACAGAGGGAAAGGGCCTTTACAAGTGGAGGTGACCTGAGCGCGCAATACCTGACCTTTTGGGTTCTACCAGCGTGGGCCTTGCTCTAGTCCCGACAGGAACTTTACATACCCTTCCTCCCAGTGGTTTCAAATGGCGCTCTGGCAAAAGACATACCAATGCCACTTTGAGTTGATGCGCCTTTTGATAACATCGAGCAGCAAAGTGAGGTGTAATCTTGCGATGGCGGAGCGCACTGATCCGAAGGCCGAACCCTCAACCAAAAAGTGGGGTCCTCAAAATCTATGAGGACCCGCTCAGGTGTTGTTTTAGCTGGTTGCCGGTTGTTTTTCTCCCCACTTCTGTGGTGCAAGGGAATCCCCCTTTCTATTCTCAAAATAGCCTTTGGGGTTAGGCCCTTTCTCTTGTATCACAGATTCGTGGATTCGATTTCTGGCGTCAGAGACATTTCTCCTTGGGCCTCGCGGGCGCGGTAAGCGGAGCGGAGCTCAGGACAGCGCCACGCCCTGGGCCACCCGCGGCCGCGCGCGGCTGCGGCAGAAGTGCTACCGGGAGTCCGTGGAGGCGCCTGCGAATCGACGGGATGGCTGAGGCTGAGCCACTGTGGATGGCTGCGAAATCCAACTCGCACCACATTGGTGTCTAATGAACTGGGAAAGAGGGGGCCTATCCCTTATTCACCCCTTAATAGATGAGGCACACAATAGATGGCTGAGGTTGAGCCCATGGTGGCCTCATTACTTTTACCATGATCAAAGTCACCCCCGTTCAGTGGTGGGTTGCAGGGAAACAACCCCATTTTCTGACTGGGAAAAGGGGGGGGCTATCCCTTATTCACCCCTGAATACTGTGGATGGTTGCGAAATTCGCACCACTAAAAAAAAAGAAGCCATAGTTGAAACCACAAGGTTTGTTGGTATTTACGTTGGAATCGAATCATTCCATGGTTTCTCAGGTGATGCAGGATTTTGTCCATCCACAGTATGGCTGTGGTTGTCAAAACCGTTTTGGGATCTCATTTTGGGGGGGGGGGGGGTTCGTGCATTCGCCGCCCATTTTTTAGAACCTATTTTAGTGGGGATTGGGATGTTGGGGGGTTTCCGGGATTTTGACCCATGGCCACAAGAATCAACCAACTCCAGTTGATTACATGGTGGTTCCCAGCCATCCGGTTCCTTGGCTTTTTGGACTTTCAGGTTAGTGGGGGGTTTCCAGTTAACCCTCTGAAAGTTAAACTTTTAGCAGGGGATCTGAGGACAGCCCAGATGAATTGGGGTGTGTGTTCCCCTGCGGTCCGATTCCCCTCGAAACCCAGGTACATTCCCCTGTGAATGAACTGGGGTTGATTAGTAGGGGGTCATGATGGAACACCCTTCTCTCGAACATGGCACCTATGGATACCGCCAGGTTCTGGATACCCGAGAAGTTTCTGGAAGCCAGTTTCGGAGATCGGAGTGGACCATTGGTTTTAGGGAGCCTTTCATGGAACCTCAAGCATGTTTCGGAGTAGACAAATTTTGTCCTTAGGGGGTCTTTCTGGACCGGGTAGTAGCCAGAAACGGGCCTGGCCGCCCTTTTGATTGATTGCATTGGGCCATGGCATGTTGCGTTTTCGTGTTTGAGTCCCGTGGCAATTTTCGGAGAGATGACATTCAGGGCTCCATTCCAGACCCAATGAGGATGGTCCCACCGTTTTTCGTGGCCGAATCTTTGGCACGTTTTGTCCTTTTTTCATGGAAAGTGGGGCAATCCCATGTCCGGAAGCGGAAGGACACCTGATAGTGTTTGTCCTTTCAAAACGGCTGGCTTAGCGCAATTGTGTGGGTCATGCATGGGGTTTACCCACTACAAATGCGTGAACACCCGTGCTAAGCTAACTACCGGCTTGTTATGTTCAAGGCATACTTTTTTCTTAGAGGGTACTGCTCAAGGAAAACCATACTAGCAAATTCCACGGATGAAGGTTCCCCCTATTTTGGGCGACAAAGCCCATTTCCCTTTTGAGAGCTGAGAGGCAGCCGAATCTCCGCAGGACTGTGAACGCGCGCTAGACCTCGACCCAGAGTGCAGGCGTGGGGGTTGTTCGTGACGCTTGGCCGCGCTCTGGTTTTGTTCGGAGCAAATCTCCAGAGCTCGAGGAAATGGTACCTAACCCATTTCTACAGAATGATGGCTGAAAAGACTATGGTTGGCTGCCAACAGGTGTGGTTCTGAAAAGGACATGAACCCCAAAGATGCAGGGAAACCGAATCACCTAATTAGCAACTGGGATTTTGTCTAGGCAGGTTCATTCGCCACTTGGATTCCAGGAGTTCAAACCCTTTTACCCTGCTCTTGCGCAACCTCCAAAGTGAGCCCGCAAAAAAGAAGTCCCCTAATTCCATATATCTAGTCTTCCCCAGAAAAGGAACATGGGTTACAATATATGAAACTCCAGGGGTCCCCCCCAATTTCACAAATGAGGGGGGGGCACTTTCCACGTCACCAGAAAGCAATAAAAGTCTCAGTCTTCCCATAAAACGTGAGCATGGGTTACCATAAATGGAACTCCAGGGGTGTCACTCCCCTCCCTCAATTCCATTTTTGAGGCGGGGATATCCTCATCATCAGAAAGCAATCGAAAACACGGGAAAGGGCCTGCTGGAGGCTAGCGATGTCTACCCTGGGTGCCGCCTTGCTTCAGTTGGGCCACAATGAGAAGGCATGGCAAGGGATCGAAGCTTGGGGGGGTTGGGTTGGGGATGACCATCAATCAAGAAGAACAACTGTTCGGTATCAAACAAAAGCTATTTTAGCAATCAAACAAACACTTTCCCCACAATCCCTCTGCGTTGCTTGTAGAGGGGGTTTGGGGTTTAAGGGTGGGGATACGACTACAACGCGACTTGTTTGACAGGGCTCCTTAAAAGATCTCCATTTTGCAACCATTTGAAACATGGCTGGCTTTTTCAACACCAAATAAAAAGGGAAACCACCATTTACAAGTTGCAATGTTCGATCGGTGTATAATGCATCCGGATCCCTGCTGAAAGCAAAACGGTTTGAAGGTGACCCATGGAGTCAAGGGGCTCCGCCCTGTGACATGCAATCCCTGCGCGATAGCCACCTGAGGTTTGGTAACGGAGCTGGTCCCAACCCTAACCATATGCTGGCCTATGTTTTGTGCTAGAAGACCTTTCTTGGCTTGTATATAAGTGTAATATATGTATATTGGAAGCCGCTGAGGGAGGGAAGCATCCGTCTCAGTCAACCTTCCCCCCCCAAACAAAGGCGCTTGCTATGGCTTCTCGTTGGAGACTGACCAGCAGCATTGGAAGTATGAAGACGGTTTAATACTGTGGATGGGTGAAATCCGTTCGCTCCACTTTGCAACGAGGTTGAAACCACAACGTTTGTTGGTATTAACAGGGGAATGGAGTCATTCCGTTGGGTTTGGTAGGTGCGAAATGGATTTCGTCCATCCCACAGTAGCTTTTTAGGGGAATGGCAAGTTGCCCTGCCATCCCCGCGATCCTGGCAATCGCCTCTCTCGTCGGAATAGAGCAGAGGATACATCCGAAAAGCCACCTGCTTTTCAAGGGGATGCTGTAAATCAGTTGGTAAAGTTCTTTTTTGTCCAAGCAGAACCTCGCACTAAAGTTCCGCAAAGCAATGAAACAAATGTAATGTTGACCCCTGATTAATAAACCCCAGTTTATTAATATGGGGGTGTCCTTGGTTTTAGTGGGGATTCAGACCTCTTTTGGAGGGAGCGCTCCCCATATTCATAAACAGGGGTCAACATTAATCCGGGGTCAACATTAAAGGCAGGACTCCCCACCTATAGTTCATGGGGGCTGCGGGGGAGGGAGGGGAGGGGAGGGAGCCAAAAAATAAATAAATAAGGCCTTATTAAGGGCTGAATAAGGGCTTATTTGGGCTCCCTCCCCCTCCCCTCTCTCCCCCCAGCCCCCATAAATAGTTGGGAGAGGCATCCCTTTCTCACCCCCTTGTTGGTTGGGAGGGTTCCCCTACTAAAATAGACAAAAAAGGAAACTAGTTGGTACCAACTTATTCTAACCTCTCAAATCTGGAGGACCTAGATATTCATAAACAGGGGTTTAGACAAATCCGGGGTCAACGAATTTAGCAGGACTCCAACCACCTGTTGGGAGAGGCATCCGGTAATTTGACCAAACATCTGTTGAGAGGCCTTGGAGAACTGCGACCGGGCGGTGGTCTTTATGCTGGCGCGCCTGGGGAAGGCAGGCGGAGGGGAGCGCTCCAGGCGTTTTCCCAGCCCAGTGGTGCCCCTTTTTCATTTTTGTTGGGAAGGATCCCGATTCCTTGAAGCTCAACCGGGATGTGGGCTCCACGCACTCCAATTGGGGTGGGGGGTGGGGGTCTTGAGCAATGTGGCGGAACCAACCAAAAAAAGATGCCGATCCTTTTTCTGTTTTTTCTTTTTTCGCCTGGCAATCCACCGGGCATCTGAGTTGTTCGACGCTTGGAACACCCGAGGCATGGTGTTTTTTTGAGCGTTTTTTTCTTTTCCCTGGGTTGAGTGGTGCGCCTGGTAACCCCTGGGGCTGTTGTTGGTTGATTTTCTACTTGGTTAAGTGTTAGCTTCCCACAGCACGCAAAGAGCACCAACCAGGGGATTTGAGCGAAAGTGCATTGCCCGGGGTCCTGATCTCCAGACGAAGCCTATCTGGCTATGTGCTTGGTTTTGCTCGTTAGTTAAGTGGAAGAACTGGGAGGTGGCAAGCCCAGATTCCCAGATTCTCAGCCATCCGGCCCCTTAGGTTTTGAGTTGAGTCTTTAGAAAGTTGGCGTAGTGTTATTTTCTGGAACTGGGGCTGGTTTTGGTTTTGATTTTCTATGTGGTTGAGTGGCAACTCGCTTTTCCCCCCCCCCCCCCACGGCAAAGAACGCCAACCAGGGATCTGACCTCCAGTCGCCCACGTCCTGTGGCCACGGAAAGTCGCATACAACTTTCTGGCGACTTCCCCCGCTTTTTTAGTAAAAGTCGATCTGAAGTCTATCTATTTGGCCATTCACGCTTTTGCTCGAGTCTGTGTAAAGTGGAAAGTGTAAAAGTGTGAAATCTATCTGGCTATTTGCTTGGAGCTGTGGACTTCACTTTTCGGTTGCACGGGACCCACTTTTTGCGGCGGGGGCAGCAGCAAACACGAAGTGAGCCACTGCCGATTCG